TTGCCACCACCTCTTCCCCGCCCCCCTTCCCCCCGCCATCCACCGCCTCCGTCTCCGTAATCATTCGCGTCGTGTGGCCTTGGCGCCTGGCACCTGTAGCAAACTTGTCGGCTCGCAAAATTGTGAAACTGACACGACGGGCAGTCCCAGTCGCCTTCCCTCCTCTGCACTGGCTCTCTCTGCCTGTACCCTCCCTCCCCACCGCCGCCGGAACTGCTGACCCCCGACCCCTCCTCATACGGCCTGGGCTCCCGGCATCTTGGGCACACGGACCGCGAGGCGAAGACGTGGTTGCCACACGTCGGGCAGTCCCTGCGGGGCCCCCGGCGGGCGGAGAGGAGGGTCAAGGGCAGCACACGTCAAGGGCACGGGAACAAGGAAATGGACGTCAATTTGGGGTCAAGGCTCCACTTCATACGTCATCGCCACCGTCGAGTGCAGGCTATTGGAGATCCCCAGCTGCCCTGCAAGAGCTGTGTTTCTCAACCCACCCTTTAAAATTGTGTAGTGGAAATTTGAGCCTTTCATTCGTTACTGCGGGCCCGCACTACTACTGGTATGGTATGAAGGAGGAAGGTCGACCTTGCAAAGCCAGCCCAGTTGCTCGCTATGGGAGGGCACCTCCGCAGATGGTACAGAGAGAGACAGGAATCCCCAAGGACACATGAAGGCAGTTAGTATTCTTGCCTATCCTCGTGATGTCTTGGCTTTGGTTCGATTACCTGCTTCTGGAGGGGGCTACACATCCACCACCTCCGATGGTGGAACCCTCTCGCCAACCTCATTCCCCTTCTTGAGTAAAATGCTTATACCACCGTATACGAAGGATTGCACACGATTTCCCACACTCAGTGGACGCACCTTTCAAAGTTCCATGACTCGACAACCAAGAGGACGCCAAAGCCAATCGATAAGTTTTCGGGAAGCTCTCGACGACACGAGTTTCATCCTCGACATCACTACTGCTGTAGTTTGAATTGCATTGCGATGATAAAAAAAAGCTGGACGCTTACACCCGCGCGCGGCCGCGAAGCTCCATCCACCACAACCGAAGGGTGTTCGGGCGCCTTCTTGCAATGACCGGTTTCCCTTCATTCACTGCAACGACTTCAGCATATCCCCTTCGACTGTGGCTATATCTCTAACGGGAAATCTTTCCGTGTCCTCCTGGATATTTTTTCAAGAAATCGTGCATCGGTGTCTCGAGCGAACCATCAGTCACCGCTAGACGGTGTGTAGGTGTTTATGTCCTCAGCCTAGAAGTCCGACAATGTAGATAATTTTGGACATCATTTGATTCGCTCGCTACGGCCGCAATCACAGCCCCCAGCTATATAATCCTGACGCACCACTCCGTGCAAGCAGTATACCGCTCAAATGAATCTCGAGGTTACGTCCCAGTTTGTATGACCCGTCAAAATGTTTGCAAATGTTCGCAAAATTCGGAGCGCTTCAATGCGACGACCAAAATAAATTAGACGCTTTCATCCGCGGGCGGCCGCGCAGCTTGATCTACGATAAACGAAAGGTGGTCGGTCTTACCGCAGAATATTGCACTGCAATCGGTGTGTCGAGCGAACCATCAGTCACCGCAGGACGGTGTTGGTTGGTTGTGTCCTCAGCCTAGAAGTCCGACAATGTAGATAAATTTTGGACATCACTTGATTCGCTCGCTCCGGCCGCAATCACAGCCCCCACTTATATACACCTCACGCACCACTCCGTACACGCATGACTCCGCTTCAACGAACCTTGAGTTGCGGCGCGAAACGCGCTTAAGACCTCGAGTATTCACAACGACTTTTCTCTCATCTCGCAAGCTGGTTCAAGGTGTTCATGTGCCGCACGTGTGGTGCCATGAGGGATTTGACTCTTCGTTCGGTACTGTTTTTCTCGTTCATGTGCGCGTGTATCACGCCGTCGAATACGGTGCTATCGCGGCCACGGGAGTGAAGACCGCAATGGAGAGACGGATGCGGACGGGGGAGTTAGAGCAAGCCCGTTCGCGTGCTTGCTGCCAAGTGCGAGAGACTGCGACCAGAATGTGCGTCGTACCGCTGTGAGCCAATCGATATCACCGAGTGTAAACTAGCATCTATCGGTACTGCGCAGGGGG